AAAGTTTTCATTCGTGTGTCTCTCGTGCATTATTTATAACGAAAAAAAATTAACGACAATAGGTACGCGCGCGATACGATGTATAGGAGAATTCATATACGGGGGGATACGAATTTTATCGTTTATATGAATTTTTATGAAAGTGAAGAACACTCGTCTCAGGAATTTGTCATTGTGTGATCTGGTCTAAAATTCAGGTTACCTAGTGCTTATATAAAGATCGTTATCATACCAAAGGAACGTGAGACTCTATCCCATGATAGAGAAAGCCGATTCTTGCATTTCCTCCGCGTCGTCGCTTTGTAATGCGACGAATAAGCGTCCTCTTGAATACCGGAGTCTGTGGAAAATTCGAATTAGATAGGAATACCAACGGAACGGTGACCGTAATAAAAGCGGATTAGTTGATAAGAGTCTTTGATGATTTTGTGACGTTGGCGACTTATGCGCCGATCGGCGGATTATTCGCAAACGACGTACATGTATGAAACCGTGCGTCGACATTTAAAGTTGAAAAAATAATCCAGAAAGCGCAGATTTATTTTTTAATGAACTACGAAAGCAAGACCACGCAAATGGCTTCGACTTTTGAAACTTTTCCGAGACACAAGAAAGAAATCCTCATTTATATTTAAATTTAAAAGCGTACAAAATACGCGAGAGACAAAAGTCGCGAAAAGTTCTCTCATACTTGATCTGTTGATCACGTGTTCAACAACCTAATAATTACAAATATTTTAGACAAAAGATCTCGTTAACATCACGTTTTTTGGAAATATATTTATAAAACTCGAACGAAGCCAATAAGAATCCGAACACAGTTGTGATTGTGTGTTTTTTTTTCACATTTTTATTATATAATGTCTTCAACAAATTGCAAACGTTTCGATCGGGAGATGCGGTTTCAAAAATTTGAAAGAACAAACCACCGTATTTAGATTCTTACCGGCTCGTCTTCGTTCAATTTAAACGAATTTAAATTTGATGCCAAGTATCATTCTTGACAGAATACATTTATGTTTGTTTTATTCCAATGAGTTGTTTAGTGTTCAAATATTGAATACGGTTTAACGAGCACTGAGAACTATTAAACGCGTCCAACCCCATTGTATTTATAACATAAATCGATTCATTGAATAGATGGATTTGCACGTAGAGCGGATCATTCACCGTCTTATCTGTTCCCAAACGAGGCGATAAAGAACGATCGATAGAGGCGTTACCTGTTCAGACCCTAGCGTGATATTCTTGGCATCTAGAGCAAGCTTATACATCGAATGGTGTGTATACTGTTCAACCGAATTTCGCGTTTTCGTCGTTGGAATTCGATGCGATATCACGTAGAGTCCCTCGCTAACTTGGCAATCCGACGCATCCGAGTTCGAAACTCGATTCGACGTTCACGGCGGCTATTATTTTGTAATCTCGCCATTATTACGCCAGCGTATTATATGGAAATTCTTTGCTTTATATCGCGCGGTATTAAAGTTGTTTCAATTTAAATGAAGATTTTGCTTAAAAATACCGAGCGCGTAGAGTCGCGCAAAGTTGCGCGCGCGTTCGCAAGTTTTTGCCTATTATCGTAGCGCATAAATAATTCAGTTCAAAAACGTTTCTACATTTTTTATTAACTACATTCTTTTATTCATTGACGTGCACTTCCGCGAGTGCGAGTATTAAAATACAACAGGAGAGAGAGAGAGAGAGAGTCGTGGAAATGAATAATTAATTGTTAGACGTGAAATTCTCGAGTGCACCAACAATTTAATTGCATATAGTTCGAGATATTTCTAGCTCGCGCAAACTAGATGAGTAATTCGACCTATTTTGCGCCTGTTCGGTGCCGTTATGAATAATCGCCGTTCGATGCGCAAGGATCGAATATACACGTGCCGGCTATCTACACGAATCGCCAGAAGCATATCCGGCAAATTGAACTCCTACAAGTTCGACACAAAGGATTATTATCCGATAAACCGACTCGTCCTTCTGTTACCCGTGTTTTTTCAAAGAGTTAGTAGCTTTGTAGAATTGAGATTTTTCCGCGTAATTTACTTATCACTCATTTGCGAGTGTGTCACCGAACAGTAGAAGGTAAGATAAAATTTTTTCAAAGATAAGTGACACACACGATGAAACGTTCTATCTTTCTTCGAAAAATTTCAATACTTTCTGTTTATTAGATCGCACAATCAGTTAAAAAATAAAACAGTAACGGAAAAACCAATTTTGCTATGATACGGTCAGTAAGAAAAACTCTCACTGAGTTAACCGAATTTTTCCTTTTATCAACAAAACATTTTGTTGGCAAAACAAAACACATTTAATAGGTTTGGCAAATTTTTCTTGCTGACCACATAGTAACCAATCTTCTTGCTATTCTTTTTTTTCTGTGTAAATTCAATTTTCACGTTAGCGAGTTGGAGTATTCGAAAATAGGTAGAAAATAATCTGAAATTTTTGTGAATATAAAAAAAAAACGCATTTATGTAGTAACTGCGTGTGTGTGTTTTCGGGATTTAAAATCGTCTGCAGATTCAATTAAGAACATCAGACGACAGATACATCGTTTTGCAGCTGAATATCCGTCCGTCCCGCAATCGAGAGTAGATTAAATGCAAGGACGTGGGATCGATATCGGTAGCTTTCGTTAACGAAATCCTGGGAGATCCGAAAGAAACGTATATATATATATATACACAGAATGCGGCTTTACGGCAAGGCGCGTCTTTTAATCGTTGTCGATGGGTTTAGAGAAAAATATTCCGAAAATGTTGCTACGTACATAATCATTGGTAATTAATTTTCGAGCGAGGAGACCTAGAAAACATTTTTTTCATTTCAAAAAGTTGTTTTTTTTTTTTTTGTTGTTGACGGTTATCAAAAATGAGAATTTTATTTTTTCGTTTACCGAGTTCATTTCGGAAACAGCTCGTTTTGTTCGAGAAAAAAAACCGATAATGCAGCAACAATAGCAGGATTTCTGCACGAAGCAACTGTTATAAAACCACGCGCTTTTTCATTGTTTTTTTTTCCCCCCCGAATCTCTCGAAGCACCGTGTTGATAAAAAGAAACACACAAAAAAAAAACAAAATAGAAAGTAGATCGCAATTTGTGTAATTTACATAATCCTATTCAATATGTACATAAACAAAAATGTGTGCGGTACATACTGGACTTCTTCTTTCAGGAACATTATTCATTCCGACAAATTCACGCTTTTGCCTTAATTTGCATATGCAATTACGTTCTTTCTACTTCACCCGAGCCAAATCTTTGTGTGTGCGGCGGGGAAATTTCAGTTTTCAAACGCAGAAATAGTTGTCAAGTATCTGTTTGTGATATATATCGCGATTATTTCAATATAAATATTCATAAAATGTTGCACACGCAAATTTTTGCTTCTTATAAAGTACAGAATTTAATTTTTGTTTGTTTGTTTGTATTCTGTTTTCTGACATTTATTTTTTTGTAAAATTTGAAAAACTGTTCTGCAGAACTGTCGTAAATCTCGTTTGCGTTTTCGTTCTTTTATATCGTCAATCATTTGAGAGAGATTACTAATTGCGATCAATGAAAGAACCATCAACGGCGAAAAGTTGCGCCGTTCAAAAGTCGCTCGGAAACTTGAGCTATAGAAAAGCACGGCGGCGTATAAATGAAATGGAAGAACAATCCGGCTCCCATACGGCTCATTTCTGAGATTAGACGGGAATGCATCTCTCTCGGGCAAGGCCGCGTGTTTACCGCGCGAGTAAATTATTCGGAGAATGAAATGGGACTTGCGTGCGCGGTGAAACATCGCTGCATTCTTCCCGTCCTTCAAACTTCGAACGAGGTTTATGGAACTCTCAGCTGCGCGAACGCGAGCGCGCGCGTAAAACTGAGACTCAACAAAGACTCATCGTAAAATCGACGATCGATATACGTCGCAAGCGATTTGTACGTATAATAGGCGAGAGAAGACTTATTACCGATCTAATTTGTCGTTCGCGGCTTTAAACTACTTTAGTTGCCACCGCATCTGAAACTTTTGCGGAGGTCACTTCTCGTTACCGCGGAGGAGAACCGTACCGACGAATTTAATCGCTGTGAGATTAAGACGAGAGAGAGAGAGAGAGAGAGAGAGAGAGAGAGAAGCTTTCAAGACACAGTAATTGTGTGAGGAGTTTCTACATCGAAACGTTTTCGGGAGAGACCTCATCCTTTGAGCACGAAAATATCGAGAAAACGTTTGCTGAATAATAAATGACGGTCTGTGTAACCCTCGGTACAATCTTAATTCACTTTACTTGCTTTTCTGATTGATTAAAGAGAAATTGGTTAAATATAAATAGACAACGATGCGAGATCCAAATAATTACCAACGCATTACCCCTTATAACGCGTCTTAATATTCTTAATTAATGTCCTTTAATTAATTATGTACTGCTCTCGGCAGTTTCATGTAATTGGCAATATTTAATTACTACATTGCATGATTATATCGTCATAATTTATTGACGTCACATCCTGAACCTTCCGTTTGTAGAACAGGAAATTCATTAAACCAATTTAGCCAATTAACAATTCACTTTTCAACTCTCTCGGAATGAAATATCAACTTTTTCGAAAAATGTAGTCACATCCGGAACTTGTGAAAAATAAAAACGTGGGTGGAAACTGACGGCGCGGTTTTGACCGGGAGAAAAGTTTCCTACGCGAAAAGCGTCGGGAGACGCATATGTTACCGAATGTCATGATGTCCGTAGAGTCCGCGCAGAGGTTGACGGGCGAGATTGAGGAAGGAAGAAGGAAGGAAAGATCGAGAGATCCAAGAGATCGCGTGAATCCCGCGCGCGCAGACGGGCGAGACCGCGGTTTTCCTATTTCTCTCGTGTGTGTCCTCGCGTGGGTAGGAAGCACGAGCGGCTGCGCATTGACGGTACCGACACTAAAACTCCTCCTGGCAGACGAGGGTTGGCGAATATCACGAGGCAACAGTGCGCGGATCGCCACCACGCGACGCGGTTGCTCTTTTGCGGCGTATGATCGCTCGGATGCAGATAGAAAGGGCGGCAGAAACGTCCGCGCGAACGTCTCCTCGAAGAGTAATAAGGAAATCACACAATCGGCCAAAACCGCGCATCGTGTCGATCTCGCGCTTCCACACTTCTTGCGTCGCGTTGTCGAAAAAAAACAAACAAAATCACCGACGCACAGGCAGCAATTTCGAAACGTGTCATGTTTGAAACAAGCTCCAGGGACACGATGCATCGTTCCATTAATTTACCCGCCAAATTGAGCGCAGGGAATTGCGACTCTGTACTAACTTTTCCGAAAATAGTACAGCCAGTGCAGTGCGAGTCGCGTCGGTACTGAGAGAGAGAGAGAGAGAGAGAGAGAGAGGATCATTTACTTCGCTCCGCGCGACTTCACTTAACGAATTGAGTAACGCGCGAGACTCGATTACGAGGATTCGAAAACGTCGAAAAACGTCGTTCTTCGTCTTTTTCCAAAATTTTAACGCGAATATCAATTACGGTTCCCGCGTAGAGTAACGGATTTTATCTCTTCAAAAAGCGCTTGTCAAACGATGTTGTGTCATCGCAACACAATCGTGTGCTGATTACGTTTTAATCAAGACTGTTTTGATCGAGTAATCTTGGTGTCCCGGAGTGCGTCAGAGAAACGTCTAGTTATTGCGAGATACCGGTCGATGAATGGCGATATAATCCCGAATTACCGCCACCGCGAAACAGAGTTGAAGAGGGTGATCCTCTCCGGATCAAAGGGCTAAATCCTCGATTGAGTATTCCCGTCCGATGTGTAAATTGGATGTGTCGTGCGATACATAAATCGGGGCGCGCTGTGATAAAGAGCCTGCGGTGACACTTTGCCGAAGCCGGGGACGGACGTCGAGATAAATGGCAATAAATTGTCACCCCGTCCGACGTTAATTAAGCCGCGAGGAGCGGAAGAGACGTTGCCTCCCAGAGCGGAAAGCGAATCGACGCGTCGCATACTTACGCAAAAGAAAAAAAAAAGATTTCGAGCGAAGGAACGACAGAAGCGACAGAATCAATTCCCGGTGTGACTGTGCGGCCGCGGAAGAAATGTGGCCCGGAGAGGAATGCTGCACAACTTTACGGTAATTCGCGTGCTTATCCGCTTTATTACACCTTTTCAGACGCGCGCCCGTAAAGCGGTCACGTAGTCGGCGCGACTGAAATGCCAGAGCGACTTCTCCCGGGAGTAGCGCTGTACAATCCGTCACAAAGCTGGAAATACCTGTTATTTAATGCGCTTCCCTTTTCTGAGTCTTAGTCTTGTCTACGGTGTGGTCTCGCTTTTCAGCGGATATCGGAGATATTTTCCGCGTTGATGAACGCGCGCGTACGCCGCGTTCGATGATGATCGACGATAATAACGATCGCCGCCTGCAGCCATCAGAGAGACAGCCATTCCGTCGCACGGACGCAACAGTGTGTCTTCGGGCGCGCAATTCTAGAAATTGTTACTTCCAAATTTTGTGCATTCTCGACTGTAATGAAGGTACTTCAACGTGACGCGTACGAAATAGGAATGCTTTAATTATTATTATTGTTATACAGTTAGTATAATTAGAGAGACAGAGACAGAGAGAGAGAGAGAGAAGATTATAGTCGAGAGAAAGAATTTAATTTGTGAGCGTAATTTCGCTTGACGGCAAAATAAATGTATCATCTCGGCGCAATTTCTCAAGTAAGCCCCCGCGCTGGGTTTTCTTAGATCATTTATAATAAAGCGCGCTATGCCTGACGTTTTTCACGTAGCGCACAAGCCGAGCGCCGCTAAAAAAGTATACGCATTACAGAGACGCCCACATATGGGAGGGGGGTGTCACATCTCACGCTCGAGATCATCTTTTTCAACTTCGCTTCCAACTCTTTCTCTCTCTCTCTTCCGCAGGAAATTAAAATCATCAACAAACTCCCGGAAACCCGTGTGCACGTACGTTCTTTCCAGATTTTACCCTCGTAGCGTTTTTGAGAAAACGCGCGCGACTCACCTGTAACGTCACCGCGTATGATTTCACCGAGAAACTCAATATCTTCGCAGTCTCTTTTGAAGCGAACCGTGTTGCGAACTTTCAGCGCGCTCTCGTGCGAGGGACAGTGGTAGTTGAAATTCAATGCGTTGATTTTGTAAACTTCCTTCTCGCTGAAGCACCAGCAGCTCACCTCTCCAGCTACGCTTTCCTATTTTCTTCGACGGAACACGTACGGGATAAGATCGTGTAAAAATTCTTATCGATAAGTATGAGATTTTTTATAAAAGATTGATACGATTTTTTCAAGATGGCGACAAAAAAAGAGAGTCGATAAATAACATGTTACTATATAAAAATTATGTAAAAAGAAAAAACCATAATCTTAGTACTTAAAAAATGAAATTAACTCCTCGGCGTTATGTGTTCGGTGTAACCTTTAACCTTTAACGTTCAACCTTTACCGTTAATTCTTATCTCAATTTGATGTAATTTTATCTAGCGTGCACAGATTTGAGCGACTTTAACGCGCATTCAAACGAACGTCTCGAGCTGGGGAGCTTCATCAAACCAAACACGGAATTGACAAAGTAGAACTTGTAATCCAACGATCATCTTCCGACTGTAACTCCTCCGACTGCGATGAAACCGTCTCCGTAAACTCAAATTTAATCTCGGCCCCGTGTCGGACTTGTCTGTTGTCTCTGTAGACGCTGTCCCGATGGAATATAACACATTTTGTTTGTCGAGAAGTTCGAAAATCAGAACGTTTCAGCTTATCAGAACACCCGCGCGTTACATATTCGCAATATATAAGACTCGTGTACGTTTGCAATTTGTTAATGTGTACAATAGTTTTTATATTTAATTTCAAAATTAATTTTCTTACAAAAAAACAGTTCGTCATTTGAAATTATTGCGAGAAACAGATTTTAAAAACATCAATTATCAGACTGTAAAAATATCAATTAGTTGACACAATTGATAATCAACGAAGTTTTTGCACCTCCGTGAAAAGCAAATGAAAAAAAAAAAAAAAAAAAAAAAAAACGAAAAGAGACTTCTAGTATTTATCTTAAAAGTCTGCTTTCAATCTACTTTACTCACTATTTAAAAAAGTAATTTGCCGAGATGCTTTTTTGCACAATCGTTAGGAAGAATGAAGTCCTGACCGTTACTTAAAAAGGTCTGGATTTCTTCATCCCTCTAATCTTTTTTTGTGCGGTTTCTTTGCATTTTCTTCTTTTCGGTATCTGATTGTTCTCATTATTTATGTTAGATTTCTTTAGAATCTATTAAGAAAATTATAGCGGAAATAAAATTATTTTAACATACCAATAAAAGAATTTTTAAAAGAAAACTATTTTTATAAACAACTTGAAAACTGCTTGCCTTAGACGCACTAATTTCGTCTAAAAATAAAATGTATCATCTACATACATTATATTAAATAGCTAATTAATTATTCACTTAAATATAATCCAGATTGTAATTAGTTGCTCGCGCAAGTTCGTGTTCGAAGAGTTAATTAATAGTCACCTCCCACACATAATTTCGAAGAAATTCCTTCAAGGACTTGGATACCAAGTTGAATACCGAAGATAGCAATACACACACATACACACACTTCTCATGTAAAATAATTTATTTTCTAAACTTTCCTTGATTGTTTCTCTTTCAAGAAACTTTTTTAAGATTTTAACCGAATTTTATAAGTCATAAATCAAAAGGCGCGTAACAGATGTTGAACTAAAACGTTATATTTATAGCGCACTGTAGTTGTTACGAAGTTTGCAACAATGACGAAGTACTTGCTAGGAATGTTGTCGAATAATTTCCGATTTCGTGAACACCACGAGGCATCCGAGATATTTCTTATCGGATCACACTCGTTTGATTCCCGACTTCCGTTATATACGAAGGCGACGCGATCTATAGAAATACCAGAACTCTCGGTCCTATAACGCATCACTCAATTCGAATTGAATCATCCGCCCACTCTTCGCCATGACATACGTGGGACGCACGACCGCAATTTACGGTAGGTCAGGTTCGACCGATCTCTCTCTCTCTCTCTCTCTCTCCCCGCAAGAGACATCTTCCGTTCTTATGTGAGTAACGATGATATGTTCACTGGTCCCACCCTATGCTTGTTGCTTGTCGTACGTCGAAATAAAACTAGTTTTATTGCTGTGCGCGATAAAACATTTCCGAATCGCCGGGGGAGGGGAGAGGGTAAATAATGATATAGTTCAGAATTGCGCCTCATAAATATGAAATGATTTATAAGATCGAGGAATAGAGAAAAAGAAAGAGAACGCTGATAATGATTAATAGCGGGAATGATTAAATGGGATCGTGGGAAACTTAAATTAATGCGGAAGAAGTACGATAAGTGACGTGATCGATATGTGCTATTATTACGGTCCAACAGACTGCTATTAATACGCGCCGTCACGTTAATTTAATGATTTTTAGAGTTACGCGCAATCTCGGAGTTTTTATTTTGGATTTCATGTATATTTTTGCACATATTAACAGTTTTTTTTTTTTTTTAATACTAAGTAATTAGAGTACGCGGGAAAGTCTCGCTGTCCTCCGACGTGCAAATTATTAATGAGCGTTGAGTCAAAAAAAAAAAACATGGTGTAAATAATTCTCTTATATAAATTAATAATTTTATATAAACATCCCGATATTTTTTTAGTCATTCGTCATTCGCTCGCTTGTCACTCATTCGCTCGTATTTTATCTCTCGACACTGACGTGTGTGTGTGTGTGCGTGTGAGCGATATATACATTACATGTTTTCAGGCACATTTTAGTGCGCGGATACGTGTTGTTTAATGGGAGTTTAATGGAAATATGTAGCACATGATAGATCGAGCCGAGAATGATTCTATTTTATTTATACACGCGCATACACACGTAAAGAACCCTGGGTTTTCAGTGTATACATTATTAATAGCAATGTATATACATAATTTCAATGTATATACATAATTTAATCAATGTTTATAATAATTTAATATATACAATGTACATATATAATTTAATCATTTAAAAAGTGTGTTTTATTTTGTTTCGCGTTTTTTTTTTTTTTTTTTTATTACGAGCGAGATTAGAATATATAGGATAATGATATTACGTGCGTAAAACTAATTGCACGTTTGCGTTATTACGTTTCTGCTCGTTGTCGAGTTGTACAATATAAATTTAAAACATTTAACAGCAAAGTCACCATTCCATCGCTCGAATGAAAAGTTAGCGTGCTCGTTAAGCTACCCTTTGCGATTCTCGTATCGTCGTCGTTGTCGTCGTCGTCGTCGTCGTCGTCGTCGTCGTCGTCGTCGTCCGTTGTACGTCGCGCTAAAGCATTAAGCAGATTACGCGACGAAGTTTTTAAGTCAAGGGACACGTACGCGAGTATTTCGCCGGAACGAGTCACTCACTTCTTCAGCGCGGAACGAGGATTTGTTGAGAAAATTCCGTAAATTCGGATAAAAATGTAAAGCGCAATGTAATAAGATTTATAACATATTAAACTCCAACACACACACACACACACATTCTCTCTGAAAACATTCTCTTCTCCGGACTTGCGTCTATTTTTCGTGTGAGAAAAGGAAAAATTCCAGAGCGCGTCGAGCTTCGAAACATTTCGTGCCACATCCTCATAACAAAGTTTGGAGCTAATAACGTTATGTGATATTATCGTGTACATAACCGTGTTACGTCTTAATGGATCTTCCGACAAAGGGCAGTAAATGCCACCGGACATTTACCTTTACATCGTAGATGCGAGAGAGAGGGATGTATAGAAAGGTTTTTTCCTTTTTCTAATGATTTTATTTGCACTTGCGCAACCAGAGAGACTCTATAGACGACATTCGACTTCGGAAATGGGAATGTTGCACAGTTCTTTGTCGTCGCGACGCAATACACAACGGAAATGACAATTCGAACGCGCGCTTAGCCCGGAAGATTTCTACGATCTCATTTAAACTTCCATTATTTGCCGATGGAAATCAAATTACTGCGGCAGCCGATTCTGGTCCGACTGCTTTTCTTTCGCAATCTCGCGACACAGACCTTCGAGACCTTCGTCTTATATATATATATATATTCTACCGTTTGCATATACCAACTTATTGCTGCATTTCTCAAGTACATTAATTAATCACAATAACACCTTATCGACAGGGTCACAATCTTGATCTTTTACCTCTAAGACAGAAAGGAAAATACATGCATAAAAAAGTACAATATTAATTGTTTTTATAAATTTTTTAATGTAAACCGAGATGGAACATGTCGGTTGTTGTTTCTTAATTCTAAGACGAGAGGGAAAATACATGTTTATTTGTTTATAAATTCTTTAAACTGAGACGAAATATGTCGATTGTTGCACGAACATATGACGCCGTCATCTGTAACAGAAAACATTATTCAATTTGACGCCAAATGGCGTCATCCGTGGATAAGGTGATGAGCAAAAAATGTTGTAAAATATTAGAATCCGAGTGATATCGAGTGAGTTTTGAACTCAAGCAAGTGTTACACGTGTATCTCGGCAAATCGCATCCGCTCGCTTTGTATTCCGCGAACGTTAAGATTTGCGTGCAATAAAAACTGAGATTATACACGGGCTGATGTACGGCGAATTTGAAATTTCTCGCTTAATTCCAGAAAGGAGAGAGACGCTTCCCAAACCGAAAATCGTAAATGTAATACAGTGTCCTCGCAATTACGTACAATTTCCTTCCATAACATTATTCCTTCATCTGAATCTCATTTGCGCGCTCGCTCTCCGGCAATTTAATGAAATTATTTTATTCGACGTAAGCCTATTATTCGAAATTGAGACCATCGAGTCTCTTTCCGAGTGTGAAACTCGGATCGCGGGGGCGATCGAATTAGCCCCGCTCGGGAATTTATGTGTGTGAATATTTCCATTAGCAGATTACTCTATTTTCCAATTACACGGATGAGCTTTGTGTTACCGATCCTCCCTCTCGCGCCCTTCGCGGATGTAACGCGGTTGTAAATTCAAATTAATTAGACGCACCTTAACCTTTCGCGAAAAACCGAGCGTCTTAAGACGAGATTCCCCCGAGGTAGGATTAAATTAATGCGAAAATATCTCACGCAATGAGAGAACCGGCGAAACTTTTTTCTCAATTCGAAACGTACGAAAGATACCGGGAAAGAGGAGGAGGAGTAGTGAATAAACTTCTTATCTTATAAACAGCGAGAGCCTAACATAGTTTTCTTCAAGTTGCTCCATCCGTCTGGCAAGTTACGTGATTTATCCGCCGGTACTTTTCCATCACGAAGATGGGCGAAGAAGATCGTGGTAAAAACAACCCGCCATATTCGATCCCGTACGTAACACTTCTGTCACGTAAATCCATCATGTTCCATGTATTATCGAACATCCACGTCACTCTCTAAAAACCAGGTGTCTGTCAGTTCGACAAGAAAAGAAAAGATAAGTAAATTTCTTTCTTTGTTTTATTTTTGCAGATGAGGAGAAACCGGAAGAGCGCCTCGAGTCGTCAGAGAATCGACGACTGATTATGACGCGCGTCCGCGCACGGCGGAATCTCTCTCGTCTCCTCCTGTTATTCTCTTCCTCTGAAGCCCTCTACGCTCGCCATCGCCTGACCCTCTTCCTTCTCGGCCTCGCTTTTCTCGGTAAGTCCGTCTCGTGCGACGCGAGGACGAGGTCCCAGAGCGATTTCCCTCATAACATCGGGGCAAAAAGATATTCGGAGCGAGGAGACCTCGACGTTACCGAAGTGACCCAGGAATGGATTCAACGCGAAAACGTAGCTTCGAGCATGGCTGGTCAAAGTGCTAGCGACGTGGCCACCAGTCATCATCAGTCCGGTAATTCCCTCGCAAATCAGCGAAATCCCAATGAAACCGATCCGACGGAGATAAAACGAACTTACTTTGACGACGGCAATCTTACCGCGAGCATTACTAACGATCTGCGCGGAGATCATCAAGTGCATCCTCCGTCCGTTAGACGAAAACCTCGATTTGGCGATTTCGCGAGAAATAAAATAGTCGACAACAGAAAAGTCGTTTTTCGAAACATGAGGCAGGGTGAGGAAAGGGCACGAAGAAAGTGGTCGGATAATTACCTAGTCAGAGAACAACGTGGTGCGAAACTTGCGCCTAAATTTATCCCTCATCACTCTGTGAATAGAGCCATGAGCGAAGTCGAACTTGGAAGCGAGCGAGATAAGGACGCGAGTTTGATTATTTTGAAGGAAGCTCATCAAAGCGAGATCAGTTTGTCCAAGAGTTTTGATCGCAATGACGGCACGTCAGAGGTTGCGTTAATCAAAGCTCCAATCGATCAGTCACCGGGTTCGCGCGAGTCTTTGAATGCTAATCATCTCGCGCAGCTGGCGGGAAGTCGACAAGATCGCAATGAGGGTAGTTTCGAAGGAGCGAGACGAAGGGCAGAGCTAAATACCGATAATGTATTCGACGTTAATCGTGCGACCGAACGCGATTATTCGGCTCGGCGAAATTCGCGCGGGAACGAGGAAGCGAGTCGACGATCGAACGAGCGCAACGATGTTAACGTTGCGGCGACGCGTCGCGACGATCTAACGGCGGAGAATCGCGGCACTCGCGGCACCGATGTCGTCGATTTCGAAGCCACGACGCAAACTCATTTTGACGGCCGCAATAGCTACGCGTCTGATAAGCGGAATGGCAAGCGCGGATCTCGAAGCACGTTCACCGATTATCCGAACAGGAACGACAACTTTGACTACGTTAATGAGTCCGCGAACTCGAGCGCCGACGACGTCGATACAATCGCGGTTGATACGATTGCCGATGACATCGACGTCAGCACCGCTTTGACCGCGGACCATCAAATCGAGAACGGGATTGCGGAAGTCGGGACCGAGTTTAACTTAGATTACCTCGATTTCAATTTCTCGAATATCGGTGGAACGGAAAATCACACTGCGAACTGTCGCAACGGTGTGTGCCTTCCCGATTTGAATAGCGGCGACGACGTGCCGACAACCAAAACGAACAAGTTCGATCGAGAGAATGGACCGAACGACAATCGGGATGAGCGCGCGGAACATCATCACGTGCAAGTGAGCGACGACGACGACGACGACATGTCGGCGACGCCTGGCAACGACAGCGACATCGATACCGACAGCGAAACGCCTTTCACGGGCTTCGAGGGTTCTCAGAAGTTCCCGGTAAAAATCAATCAAAAGCCGGTGATGCCGCAAGTCGAAAAGTTCGACAGGCGGCACTTCGGACCGCATAAAGAGGACGTGCTCGAGGAAGCTTCTACGTGGCATCCGAGTACCGCGCTTCCGGATCTGCCCAAGAGTCCCGGCCGGGACGTGCTTCATCGCCATCGCAAGACGAGCGAGGACGTAACCGCGACGAACGACGGGGACGAGGGAACGATCGAGGAAGACGAGAAACGAAACGATACCTTTGACGAGTCTTGGCTACCGGGCATGTCGTCGGGCAGACGTTCGCCGAATTTCCCGGGCGTTAAATCGAACCTTGACGAGAAACTTGCGACGGTAACCACGGATATAATCGTCGGTGATCTCGCAAACGCGACACACGACGTGGATTCCGACGTGGATATTGGCGTAACGGTGTCGAGTGCAAAATCGATGGAGAAGATAAACATAACCATACTGGGTCTCTTTGAGATGACACGCGGGACGAAGGTGAGGCCGGAGGGATCCAGCGAGCTCGAGGCGGCCAAATTGGCGGTCGACCGTGTCAACGAGTCGGACATCTTAAAGCGCTTTCGTCTCCGGCTTATTTACAATGATACCAAGGTGAGTTAGCTACAAGTTAACCAACTAACAAAGTAAACATCCCAGCGCTGATGGTATCTGGTGAGAAAACGTCAGTTTTGGGATGATGGCGATTAAGTTATACAATTATAACTTGCTCGTGTGTATGTGTGTGCAAATATCGCTTTTACAAAATATCCAACTAGATTGCACAGAGAAATTAACAAAAAGAAAATAAAATTTGGAATTTAAAAAAAAATTAAAATTAAAAACAAAGAGCGCAATATACCAAACGCACGTGTGAATTCGGCAAAATACGTACTGGAAAGATATGATGCAAATAATATGTTAAATATATCACTATCAACGCAATTTTTTCACTTTAATTCTAAATCATCTTCAGTTGATGATGTATGTTTAACCCTTCAGTGCCAGATATTGAATCTCCGAGATTTACCCAAAAGTTTTAAACCAATGTCTCTACTAGATATTAATTTAGCGCGACATCTGAAAGCCATGAAAAGAAAACTTTAGGGCCTTAGACAATGGTAGAAATCATTGACAGCGTTCTTTGCTTAAAAGCTTTGCGAAGTTTGAATTTTGAAGTGCAAGAAGGATCCAAGTCTAGACAAGACGTTGGTATTTTGAAAAGTAAGTAAATTTTTTTTCAGTTTGTGCACAATTGTTTCTTTCATATTTTTATCAAAATATATGTACATTTATAGCAATTTATTAGGTCATGGCGCGCAGAAACGTTTCAAATGTTTCTTTGGAACTACTAGAGATTTTTTCAATTTGTTGTTTTGATCAATGCAAAATCGTAAAACTTTTCTATTCAAAAAATGAATATGTCTAAATATTAATTTGTTGTTAAAATATTACATGTCGAAGTTGGGCGCTAGAAACATGCATTCTTCAAAAAAAAAAAAACGTCCCAAGACCTATTGTGAAAATGTTTTTAATTTTACAATTTTTAGAGAACACTTTTGTTCCTGAAAGTACAAACAAGTCTGCGATTTTTATTTTAACGTTTATTTATAAGATAAAATGTTGTCGAATTATTAAAAAAAAAAACAGTACAGTACGCACAAATCAAACATTTTTCAAGTCAAGTCTAAAAAACAAAAAAAAAATACTGATTTCTGTTTGAAACAATCTCGCGTTTTCTCAACTCTTTTTGCGTGTGCTCTTATCGATTTTCATTAAAAATTCATTCCGATTATCGAAGCAGAACGGCGTAACGTCGTTACTGAAAAATTTTGTACACTTTGAAGCAGAAAATTATGCTAACGTTTCATCCGAATTGTATGCATTACTGTACTCACATCTCGCATAAAGTGATTTCCCGAGTACTCGTACAGTTGTCGAGATTATACAGTTAAATTTACTTCGCTCTTCATCAATTCCAGCGAGATAAAAGAAAAAAAGCTCTACATCGCAGATAATAATTTCGAACGCACGTCTCTCTTAGTGTGTTGCAACCGTTTTTTTGTTACCGTCCGGTATTTTTATTTTTTGTTAGTGAGACGAAATTTATGAGACGTTAATAGGATTTTCCGCTGAATATATCAAATTAGAAAAATAGACGCGAAAGCGGAAGAGTATAGGGGAGACGAGGGGAGAAAACGGGAATTAAAATCCGTGCGAGAATTCCACCGAATCTTCTCAGTTGTCACTAACACACGCTGCAAGCGAGAAGAGGGATTCTCTGAGCTAGCAGCTCTGAAAATTTATAGTTCCATTGGCAGTTTAGTTTTCTGACCACCCGCATCCTGTCCGGTCTTTTTGCCAGCCAATCGTTTAAGCGTTTTACAAACGACATCTCGTCGAAAAAAAAAAAAAAAATGAACGAATGCAGTCACGAAAGCAATTGATCATCGGTTGTAGTTACGTACTTCATTATTAGTTACATGAACGACGTTAAGTTTTACAGAGGCAGCGATAATTTCAGCGGAATTACTTCTCTCTCTCTCTCTGCGCTGGTAAAACCTGCGAAAATATAGGTTGAGAGTGTGTGCTCGCTCTCTTTCTCTCACAACGATCAAACTTCTGCCGATTTTGCTACGTCGCTGCCTTTTTCTACATTACGTTGCTTTCTCGGTAATTAGCGGGGTGGGTTCGTTCCGAAATATAAAAATCCCGAACGGAGGCTTAATTGGACGGTTTTGGTCCGTAAAAAACACGACTGCGCGAGGAAGCTCATTGTAATCCGTAAAAAAGTGGTTTCGCCATAGAAATGCTGCATAATGGGATCTCGCGCGAGGTGCACACGATGAGATATCGCGGCAACTTCGCGCGATTACGTTTGACGTTATCGCGCGCGAAAACGCCGCGTAATATGCAATATACGGAAACGCGGATTTGCATAATCAGAGTCACGAGGAGATGAGAGAGAAGATACTTTGCGGGAAAGACGCACAGTTTATCTTACTCTTCGGAGAACGGAAAGCGTTTAATCTGTTCTGACTCTAAACGATTTTTTTTTTTTTACATCTCTTGTGGAACTTATTTGCGTTCTCTTTAATTTCAAAAAAAAAAATTTGATTTTCTCTCTTTGAATTGTTCGCGTCTGCTCTCTATGCAGGCTGCGAAGATTTCACTTGTCTCTCGTGACAATGTCACATGACTTTCCCGACAAGTCGAAACCGCTGTCAAGCGCGCGCGTCGTCGCTTTGAATACCTTCTTGGCAGTACGAACGCAACTATCGCGTGCGTTCCCAACAGTTTGCGACGCGGTCGGCGCATATGAAATACTCTTCGCAAATGCTCGCTCACGTTGAGCTTTGAAATCTAATAATGCTGATCAGTTTTTGCCTAGCTCTTTGGTTAAACGAAGTTGCTGTTCGTTGAAAGCTCTTTAAAAAAAATTTTAAAAAAATTAAAAAAAAAAAGAAAAACAAAAAACAAAAAGAGTAACGTAAGTAAAACGCGCATTTTCCACGTACTTTCGAAAATAATATTTTTCTGGTTTAATTTCGTCGATTTTTCGAATTTTTACTTTATCACGCGCGCGAACATAACTACGGAAATGGTTTAGTAAATTTCAATTGAAGAATTGTCTTTCCGCATTAATACGCGACCGTATTTGCGCTAGTAATGGAGAAGGAAATTGCCGAGCAAATGTTTTCCCACTTTCTCTCTTCCCTTTTCACGTTCCCGCGTTATTATTTACATTTCCGCGCGTTCTCTTCGCCGCCGACCGGTTCGCCAGAAACCGGTTCGTCGTCGCTCGAAAAACTGGACGAGAAACATCCGAGAGCGAGGATGATCTCAGGTTCTCTCCGAACGCCACTCTCCAACACGTGCGATTTCGCTCAAGAAGTAATGCCATGCACATATGCATAAACGCATTTCTCAGCTCGTTGCGGGCAGCGGAGCTTGAATAATCCGGTCGAGCTTACGGCTCTTTATCGTTAACGTATTTTCGGATTATTCTTAACGCAAAAAATGCGCCCGCAAGATTAGACGTTGCTCGCTTCTTTTTTTTTTTTTTTTTTTTTTCAGAAGAGCGCCCGCGGGAAATAAACGGCCGCGTGTACGAAATTCATCTTGGAAACTGTTCTCGGTCGCGAAAGAGAAATCTCGTTTGCGATATTGGGAGTCTCGTTAATTGTTCCCAATGCAAGTACGTACGTATACGCGTTCCGGGCCTCAAACACAGACCGGGATGGTTAAATTGGCGAATCCACTCGGCATGCATACCGAGTGACATTCGCGAAACAAACTGATCCCGTGTTTGCGCTAAAAGAGAATGGATGCCAACGAATTGCGGTTTGATCACGAACGTGGCACGATTAAACTGATGTTTTGTTCTGCGTTCGCATCATCCCCGCCCTTCTCCCGGATGAAGGTAAAACGGGAATTACCGCGCGTTCGTAAGTTCTTCGTCCACGTACACTCACACACACACACACACACACACACAGACACACAAAAGAGCGCCTCCGCGGCATTAAATTCGAAATAGTTGCGCGCGAGTTTGTTTGACGAGCCTCTGGTCCTTTTCGGTTGGGTGTCTGATAGAATTTACAGAAACGAAAAAACATCGCGACGTGCATTTCATTTGCGTTATTATACGCGCGTTGCAATTATAATATTAGATTCTTCGAAATGAGAATGTCGTAACACAAAGAAACTAAGAAAATGAAAAGAATTAATTCAACGAGAGAAAGAGAGAGAGAGAGAGAAAGAGAGCTTTCACCTTTCTTGAAATTCTCTTTGACGTCTTCAATCGCGCGAAAAGAAAAGAAAGCGCTATCCTATTTGATCTTTTTAAAGTTTCACAGCGTATTACATTGTTAAAATGCATTGCACTCCGTGTACAAAGCTGGATAATAATTTCAACGGGTTAGGTTAAAACTTTATAAGATAAAAAATTTCTCTTGCGAGTTAGATCTCTTATTCATTAAATTGACAATCTTTTGCTTAGATCGTTTCGGAATTTCGGTTGCGTCTGAATTTTTGTCGATTTTTAATTTTTGTCGATTTCTCGTTCGCGATTTCTACAACAAATTTTTTTCATATTTTTCGTTATCACGCGCGCATCATCTCTCTCGACTTTGTATAAAAGAATACTTTTAAAAATGACATTAACGCGGTTCAAACCCGAAAAAACATCTTTGTATTGTTAATACTTTTACAAGTGCATTATTCGTATGTGTGTTTGCGGATTATTTTTAAAAACTAATAGAAGAAATAAAAACGCTGTGATACGTGTGCGAAATATATATTTTTAAACGTGTGAATTAATGCGCACACGAGATAATTCGAATTGAATCATTTTCAACAAATACGTATTTCATACGCGTGACACAAATGTCGCCGGAAAGCCCTGTATCAGAAATTGAGGACATAATTCACTTACATCGAATCCGGGCCGTGGAACATTACCATGCAGGGAAACGCGCATAAATTTCTAATTGTTTCTCGAAGCTCGAACTTGCGTGACTTCTCACCCTTCTCAAAGCTTGTTCTATATAGCCGAAAGCAAGTTACGTTACGCTCAAACGGCTTTTATGTGTTGAGAATTATCTTCGCGCGCG